TCAAGAAAGCAGTGCACAGCGTTTGGTTAATTACAGAGAGGCTGAGGTGGGTCCCAATAAGGAAGGCTTTCCCTCAATTCCAGTGTCTATTAATGGCTGTTGGGGGGAAATGGCACTCTCTCTGCCAGAGTATCAGGAATGTGGCTGGTGAATGTCAGGAACACCTTGAACAAGACTTTGCCATCTCTTCAAGGCTAGGATCCTATTTTATATTATGTAACTCAAAAAGCACTTCAGTGACTCTTCAGATAATTCTGCTGAGTGAAAAAACGCCAGCTCCAAAAGGTTACATGCTGTGTATACTACCATTTATATAACACTCTTGAAATCACAAAAGTGTAGAAATGAAGAACAGATTAATGGTTGCCAGGGATGTAGGTGGGAGTGGGAATAGGAGGGAAGTGATATTAGGGCTCCTGCTGGTAATGGATATACTCTGTCTTTTGACTGTACCAAAATCTCAATCTCCTGATTTGAGATATTGTAGTACAGTATTACACGATGTTACCTTTGGAGAAAACTGGGTGAAGATTACACAGGATCTCTATGTATTATTTCTAACAATTATATGTGAATCTACAATTATCAATTACCTCAAAATAAAAAGTTTAACCAAAAAAGAAATTAAAAAGCGCTTCAGATCTCACCCACATGTAGGTCATCTCAGTGGATCACACTGGCAGTGACATGCCAATGACCATGACCAAAGGGCTCACGGAAGGTCCTCTCCTCCACAACGAGGCAGCACTTCCCGGAGCACCTGGCACCCTGGACACACCTGCTTAGCTCTCCTGGGAGACACTGCCTTCATCTCACAACCAGTATGCCAAAGCTTTCCTGCTAATGAACCCCAATATCCAACTTTTCTACTCCTGCCAGAGGCAATGATGTATTTCTAGCTGCCCAGATTCAAAACTATGACCCTAGCTTTGATTCTTGATTTTGTTTTTCTACATGCAGGAACCCAATCCTAGGAAGCTATTCCTCAAAGTGTCTCCAAATTTTCATCGTTACGTTTCTGCTGTAATTCTTAGCCAGGCCTCACCACCTCAGAGATTTGATACTGTGCTAGCCCCCAGCTTCCCATCCCTGTCAATTTCTCCCCAACCCACCCATCTCCATCCTACGCACTGCACGTTGCTTCTCATCATTCTACCATCCTAACGAAACCCTGAGCAGTGTTCCCAGTGTGTGGGGGGCGGGGAGGGAGAAGAGGGAGCATGGCTCTCTAAGGTGTGTAAGAGAGAGGCAGAGAGAGACAGAGAGAGTGTGTGTGTGTGTGTGTGTGTGTGTGTGTGAGAGAGAGAGAGAGAGAGAGGGGGCTGTGGCCAGAGTTCCCTAGACTCAGGTTTAGCAACTAGGCTACATGGGAGTCGGGACACAGGGTCATCCCCACACAGTACAAAGAAAGTCTGGAGATCTGTGACCAGCAACCTCGGGCACAGCTGGAAGGATGAGCTTCAGTGGGGCAGACAGAAAAATGCAGAAATAGCAACACAGAACGGGCGGATTTCATGATGACATCAGGAGGTCATGAAACCCACAAGGAGGTGGACAACCCCTGCGGCCTCCCGCATGGCCAGAAGGGGATCCATACGGACACAGAGAGGCAGACTCTGTGTGAGGATGACGAAAGGCTATGCTGTACAAGCTGAATCACCTTACCTCAATTAATGAGACTTCCAGATACACTAAAAGAAAAAACATCCATACTGTGTGGAAAGCCATGGGGTGAGCATCTGATTCTCACCTCTGACTGGGAAGTTTAAAGATGGATTTTTGTAAATAGAATGAAACATGTTATTGAAAACACTTTTTCTTTCTTTTAAAAAGTGATTATTTAGCTGCAAATGTAACATTTTCTCCTCTGTCTGTAAGACTCAAATATTTGCAAATATTGCATAATGGCCCTCTGGCAGACTCACATCTTGTTGCCTTTCATGGAAGGAAAATGAAGAATTATGAAAATAGAATGACAAGGTTTCTCTAACCCGGGATTCCATTATCAACTCTGTGCCTGTCTAAGGTGAAAACAACAGGACCTCATGGTTCCTGTTCTTTAGGTTCCGAGAAATCTTCATCAAAAGAAAACCCTAGGACCCCTGGCTTTCCTGATTTCTTAATTTAATTTGAACCAGGAAAACCACTGTGGCCGTACTGGCCAATCTGAATGTTGAAGGAGGGGCCCGAGGCTTCCTTCTCAAAGCCTAAGGGCTTCATGCTGGAGCATCCATTCGTCTTTGCAGATTCCTCGTGTCCAGTCATGGGGGCGAGGGGCAGTGTTGAGGCCACCATACTGGCTTTGTAAAGACAAGTGATCTCATTAGAACTGCACTGAAGATAAACTCGGTGGCTGCTACCACTGCTGACTTTCAGCCACTAGCCTGGAACCGAGCACCCCATGCAGGGTCAGGCAAGACCTTCCTCTGACATCACAGAGTGGACATGGGCTGCGAGCGTCACCCACGGTCCCCTTTCTAACAATGCCATAAGCTCCAAGGCTTAGGCTGACCCTTGACTCTATTTTCTTTTCCTCAGGGTGACTGGCCTGGTATTGAACACAAGAGCCGGAGACTATTGTGGACCTTCCTTCTGGAAAATGAACGATGGAGAAAGAAACCAGCACTGATCTGATGCTGATGCCCCAAGTGGCTGGGGAAGAGGCTGGTGCCCCAGGTGGCTGGGGAGGAGGCTGGGGAGACAGAGGCCCCGAGGAGAGATGCCCAAGGTCCCAAACGCTGTGTGTGCTACACAGGGAAAGAAGTGGGGGAAGCATAATTCCCACAGACTCATTCTTAAGGACTTTTAATTTTGTGATTTCTCCATGGTATTTAGAAGTCAGTAAGGATGTCCCCGTGCATTCCTTTTCCTTGCAGAATGATTCCAAAGAAAAACTGACAGGATGCTGTTGCAACACTGAAGGCTCTGAGCCTTCCTCCCATCTACTGAGCGGACAGAGGCACTTCTGTTAGGCCCACTTCCTTTTTCTCATCTCTTTTTCTTCCTAGCCCATGGTCTCTCCTCTCACCCTTTCCCCTCTCTCTCTTCTCTTCTTCCTGCCTTTGCCATCCTCTCTCCCCTCCCACTCCCACCACCGGGACCTTGCCCTCCCTCTATTCCCTTCCTGGTGATGAGCTAAAAGGTTGTCACTTTTCCTATCACAAGCATAGCTGCTAGGTTTTATTCCCTTTTGGAAATAGGGCTGCTTGTTGGCGTTTTACGATGACCATAATAAAGTCAGTTTTTATTGCAAACTCTCCCATCTCCCTAGCTTTTGGGGTCCTCGAGACCATGCAGAGAGCACAGGGGAGGGAGCAGCTTCCAAATGAACATGAAGGTTAGGGAAGGCTCCCAGCAGAAGGACAGAAAAATCAGAAAACGCTGAAACAGGATATGAGATACACATCATCCCTCAGCCTGGCTAAATCAGCCTATTAGGCCCAGAATTCCACTCAGCTTGTAAGGTCACCTACAGCAGTTTGTAAATAGAGCCATATCCATTTTCCATAGAAAACAGAGCCAAATTTTTAAAAAGAAGAACAGATTTTCAGTCTCCTAAGAGAAACCATGGCTGTTTCTATTATAAAACAGGACTGGGGGGATTCTATCATCAATAATATTGGGAAAAGGAAAATTGAGAGGAAGATGTAAGGGCAGCCAAGGACCTGGGACCCAGTGGGTATTGCACACCGAAGCCATCCAGAGGGGAAAGGCCCTCCCACCCACACAAGGGCACCATCACCAAGTCTGGAAGGAAGATACAGCCTCAACTAGATCTATTCTTGTCATAAAGTCAAATCAAGGCTGAGTGCTCCTGAAATACAGCAGGGTCCTCAGGAAGCAGGTACTTTGAGAAGCGAGGCCAAGGGATGTGACTCATTGCTTAAGAGCATGGCACTGGTGCCTGCCAGCCTTAGCAGGCTCGCCTAACTGGGGGTGGCAGTGAACATAGGGATGGGAAGCCTGGGATGACCACAGGCTCTGCAGGGACCCCTGGTAAGCTATGTTGATTCTGTGACCGAAGTCAGGCTGAAATTCCCCACCGAGGCCCTCGATGCCCTCCCTGCCTGACCCCGTTGCCTCCTCTAGTCACCGTGGTCTCTGCTATGGTGCCTCACCCCACAAGCTGACCATACTTCAGCCTGCGTTCAGTAGCATCTGCTCAGGACAGGATCCCTTCTTACTTCCTCCAAATCCACGCCGCCCCGCCCCCAGCCAGGTACCTCCCGGTCCCACCTGAATCCAGAGGAGACCACACCAGAGCCTCACTCAGCTTCCAGCACCCCTTGGGTACCAGGGTGGATCTTCCTCCTTAAGGCAGCACCCCCAGAGTGTGGGCACTCACAGCCGAGGCATGGCCAGCCAGACGTAGGCCAAGATCCGTGGGGGAAATTAGATAGATTCTCATAACCAAGCACTATTTCCTCAACTACAAAATGGGGATAGCATTATTTACCTTAGAGTGGTCTTATGTGGATTAAAGGTGATAATGCTTGAAAAGCACCTACTATAGTGCCTGGTGCCTAGGTAAATTGTTAATAAATGTTGGTCACTTTTATAATTGATGGCAGAGTTGAAAGGCAATCTCAAATTCATTCATCTCTACATAGGAATATGCATATACATATGTATAACATTTAAGTATGTACCTAAGTAACTGAAAGTATTAAACATGAAATACAGCGGGTAATATTAATACTCTATCCATGGCATAATGTTTTAATTAAACATTAAAAACCAGAGGTGCCAAAAGCATTTGATTAATGCTTAAAAGGAAAAAATAAAAATACATTAAAAATTCGTAAGTTCTTTGCAATTTGAGTTTTTTGGTTTTTTTTTTAATCTATAAAACAGTAGTCCTTATTTGTACTGTGACAGGGCAGGAACAAAGCTGAATAGGACTTCTTTCTGCAAAACCATCTCAGAGAGGGTAACAGGGTAAAAAGGCAGGTGTATAATATGCAAACTGAATAAAATGTTCAATAATAACCTCCTCTTACCTTTGACCCAATGAGCGTGTACAGCCACTGAATGGTTTCATTGTGGTTTATTACTCCATTCATCCCATCCACATACAACATAATCTGGCCCAAAGCTACAGAAGAGAAGAGAAAAAGAAGCAAGGAGACGTTATGGTTTATATGTAAATATAACCTCCAATGATCATAATGTCAAGTGAGATTTTCACACTTTAAGTACACTGTATGTTAAGAACCAAATCTGCAGAGAATCCCTGAGCTCTGAAATTAGCACAATCTCATTGCAGAAAGTGTCGATCACTCCAGAAGAAATAAGGGTTATCCTGGTGTCTGGAAGATGCAATTAAGGCACCAAATCCAGTGATTGTTGTTTCTCTGTGCCTTGATGTATAAATGCATGTTTTTACGTTTCTATATCTGTATGTAGTCTCAGACGAGGCAGAGATATCCATGAGATGGTGTCTGGGTCGTGGCCTCCCGCTGGGGCCAAGAGGGTGCATGAAGTTTCTAAAAACAACTTGTCTGGTGCCCCAGCCTATGGTCAGGCAGGTCCCTGACACTATGGAACCATTTTGAGCCAATACAATTTGAACCCTTAAGATAAGGAATAAATACGTATTTAAATATTATTTGTAATCCTTTTAAAGACTTTCAGGTTTTAAAATGTCAGAAATCATGAAAACAGAGGGTGGGGGTGGGAAGGGGGAATGGGGAGGTTAGTGTTTAATGGGGACAGAGTTTCAGCTTAGGAAGGTGAAAAATTCTAGAGCTGGATGATGGTGAGGGTTGAAAAACAATGTGAATGTACTTAGTGCCACTGAGTACATTTAAATATGGTTAAAATAGTATGTTTTATATTATGTGACTTTTACTGCAATAAAAAAATTTTAAAAAAGAAATCATAAAAAAATTGTTGATACCAAGTCCTAAATTCTTAGTTAAGAAAAATATAGTCACCACAGATTATTATTATTCAACAAAAAAACCCAAAACAAAACAAAACCAAAAAAAAGCCACATTATTACTTTAAAAAATATATATATTAACTCTATTTTTTCAGTTCCCTTGGTATCAAAATAATTTGCATTCTAGAATACAAATAAACAGAAGTTACATACTCTTAAGTAAATAGGCTTCCTTGAATCAGGTCTGACCTCCTACCTTACTGCAGCCGTAATTAATTGGCATGGCACTGGCATTTTTAGGTAACACTTTTTTTTCTGGTAATATTAGGATATCTTATTTTAGAAAACTGACAACAAGAGGTGTAAAATGAAAGTAATTCATAATCTCATAGTTTAAAGAATTATTCTTAACATGTTGATATGTTTTCTTACATTCTTTCTTTTATGCTTTACACACACATACACACACAACTTTATACGTAGGTCGTGGGAACAGTCCAGATAAAATGGTGATGACTGAAAAGAGCAAAGCACAAAAGTGAGTGTACACTAATTCCAAGCATACCACTATATGTGTTATGTTAGAAAACTCACTATTATACTATCCAACAAAAGATCAAATGACAAAACCACATCACCATTCTGAGAAAAAGTATGCTCCTAAATATGTAAAAACTCAAAATTCTTTTTTGGATTTATTTTATTTATTTATTTTTTAACATCTTTATTGGAGTATAACTGCTTTACAATGGCGTGTTAGTTTCTGCTGTATAACAAAGTGAATCAGATATACATAAACATATATCTCCGTATCTCCTCTCTCTTGCGTCTCCCTCCCACCCTCCCTATCCCACCCCTCTAGGTGGACACAAAGCACAGAGCTGATCTCCCTATGCTATGGGCTGCTTCCCACTAGCTACCCATTTTACATTTGATAGTGTATATATGTCCATGCCACTCTCTCACTTTGTCCCAGCTTACCCTTCCCCCTCCCCATTACCTCAAGTCCATTCTCTATGTCTGCATCTTTATTCCTGTCCTGCCCTTAGGTTCTTCAGAACCATTTTTTTTTTTAGATTCCATATATTTGTGTTAGCATACGGTACTTGTTTTTCTCCTTCTGACTTACTTCACCCTGTATGACAGTCTCTAGGTCCACCCACGTCACTACAAATAACTCAATTTCGTTTCTTTTTATGCCTGAGTAATATTCCATTGTATATATGTGTCACATCTTCTTTATCCATTCATCTCTCGATGGACACTTGGGTTGCTTCCATGTCCTGGCTATTGTAAATAGAGCTGCAATGAACATTTTGGTACATGACTCTTTTTGAATTATGGTTTTCTCAGGATATATGCCCAGCAGTAGGATTACTGAGTCATATGGTAGTTCTATTTTTACTTTTTAAGGAACCTCCATACTGTTCTCCATAGTGGCTGTACCAATTCACATTCCCACCAACAGTGGAAGACGGTTCCCTTTTCTCCACACCCTCTCTAGCATTTATTGTTTGTAGATTTTTTGATGATGGCCATTCTGACTGGTGTGAGGTGATACCTCATCATAGATTTGATTTGCATTTCTCTAATGATTAGTGATGTTGAGCATCCTTTCATGTGTTTGTTGGCCATCTGCATTATCTTCTTTGGAGAATTCTCTGTTTAGATCTTCTTCCCATTTTTGGATTTGGTTGCTTTTTTGATATTGAGCTGTATGAGCTGACTGTATATTTTGGAGATTAATCCTTTGTCCGTTGATTCATTTGCAAATATTTTCTCCCAATCAGAGGGTTGTCTTTTTGTCTTGTTTATGGTTTCCTTTGAGGTGCAAAGCTTTTAAGTGTCATTAGGTCCCATTTGTTTATTTTTGTTTTCATTTCCATTTCTCTAGGAGGTGGGTCAAAAAGGATCTTGCTGTGATTTATGTCATAGAGTGTTCTGCCTATGTTTTCCTCTCAGAGTTTTATAGTGTCTGGCCTTACATTTAGGTCTTTAATCCATTCTGAATTTATTTTTGTGTATGGTGTTAGGGAGTGTTCTCGTTTCATTCTTTTACATGTAGCTGTCCAGTTTTCCCAGCACCACTTATTGAAGAGGATGTCTTTTCTCCACTGTATATTCTTGCCTCCTTTATCAAAGATAAGGCGACCATATGTGCGTGGGTTTCTCTCTGGGCTTTCTATCCTGTTCCATTGATCTATATTTCTGTTTTTGTGCCAGTACCATACTGTCTTGATTACTGCAGCTCTGTAGTATAGTCTGAAGTCAGGGAGCCTGATACCTCCAGCTCTGTTTTTCTTTCTTAAGATTGCTTTCGCTATTCGGGGTCTTTTGTGTTTCCGTACTATTTGTGAAATTTTTTGCTCTAGTTCTGTGAAAAATGCCATTGGTAGTTTGATAGGGATTGCATTGAATCTGTAGATTGCTTTGGGTAGTATAGTCATTTTCACAACGTTGATTCTTCCAATCCAAGAACGTGGTATATCTCTCCATCTGTTGGTGTCATCTTTAATTTCTTTCATCAGTGTCTTATAGTCTTCTGCATACAGGTCTTTTGTCTCCTTAGGTAGGTTTATTCCTAGGTATTTTATTCTTTTTGTTGCAATGGTAAATGGGAGTGTTTCCTTAATTTCTCTTTCAGATTTTTCATCATTAGTGTATAGGAATGCAAGAGATTTCTGTGCATTAATTTTATTTCCTGCCACTTTAGCAGATTATTTGATTAGCTCTAGTAGTTTTTTGGTAGCATCTTTGAGATTCTCTATGTATAATATCAAGTCATCTGCAAACAGTGACAGTTTTACTTCCTCTTTTCTGATTTGGATTCCTTTTATTTCTTTTTCTTCTCTGATTACTGTGGCTACAACTTCCAAAACTATGTTGAATAATAGTGGTGAGAGTGGGCAACCTTGTCTTGTTCCTGACCTTAGTGGAAATGGTTTCAGTTTTTCACCACTGAGAACAATGTTGGCTGTGGGTTTATCATATATTTTATTATGTTGGGGTAAGTTCCCTCTATGCCTACTTTCTGGAGAGTTTTTATCATAAATGGGTGTTGAATTTTGTCGAAAGTTTTTTCTGCATCTATTGAGATGATCATATGGTTTTTCTCCTTCAATTTGTTAATATGGTTTATCACATTGACTGATTTGCGTATATTGAAGAATCCTTGCATTCCTGGAATAAACCCCACTTGATCATGGTGTATGATCCTTTTAATGTGCTGTTGGATTCTATTTGCTAGTATTTTGTTGAGGATTTTTGCTTCTATGTTCATCAGTGATATTGGTCTATAGTTTTCTTTTTTTTGTGACATCTTTGTCTGGTTTTGGTATCAGGGTGATGGTGGCCTCGTAGAATGAGTTTGGGAGTGTTCCCCCCTCTGCTATATTTTAGAAGTAAAAACTCAAAATTTTAAACACTTAATTGAACATATCCTTGACACAATAAACTGTACATTTTTGAAAATAACAGTTTCATATTCCATTTAATGGTGAAACACTGGAGATACTCCTATTAAAATCAGAAAAAATTTTAAAATGATGCCCATTAATCTCATGATTATTTAGTACCATGCTACAGACTTTCAAGCAAATTTAACAAGACGTGAAAAATAATTAAAGGTAGGATGTTTAGAAATGAATACATAATACTGTCATTATTGCAAGAAATATTATAGACCCAATAAAAAACTCATCTACAGAATTTATAATGAAGAGATCACAATTATAACCACTTTCTCATCTTAATGAGAAATAAGAATGTAACATACAAAGAAAATTAAAGTTTGATATAAAAATATAATACTAGATAAATGATATGACAGCATATATGATAAAGGCTTAAATGATTTATTGTATAAAAAATTCATACAAGTTGATAAGAAAATACTAAATGCCAAGAGAAAAAAACTAAAAGCATTTCATAAGAGAGATGACAAGCTGGTTTACAATAACAAAGTTGTTCATTCTTACTATAATAAAAATGCAAATTAAAATAATAATGAGGTAGAATTTTCACTTAAATCATGAAAGATATTTTTTAAAGAAATGATTAGGTTATCAATTGTTGGAGAGGTTAAACCAGTAACTTCATACATTCCTGGTGGTGGGGCAAGTTGGTACAAGTCCTATAATAAGGCTATTTAATGCTGTAGTTGTTTTAAAAATAGTTACCACTTAGTGTCTACCATGTCCCAAGGTCCGAGA